ACTTATGTTTATTAATACCTTTGTATACAATCTTTTAATAAATAGAGGCATTGATAAAAGACTGTTCCACCTAATCTTGTAGTGTTTTATTAGAGTTATTTGCTTTCAACAGCTGCAACATACTTCTGCAAAATCAGGCTTTCACAGGAAGATGTGAGATTTCATGTCTTTATATGACCACGCAAAAAAAAAATGTTTTAACGATTTGACCACGGCATATTTTTAAAATGTAAAAACGCGCTACAAAAACTTACCTAAACTTATCTGAAAAAAAAATTTTAAAAAATAATAAATATTAACGAAAGAGAAAAAAATAAAAAATACTTAGTTAAAGCAAAAACACAAAAAAATAAATATGTATATATAACGCAACTAAAACAAAACTAATCAAACTAAAATGCTTCGTCTATTTAATTTACGAATTAAAAAACCTTTTCAATCTTTGCTTCAACATTTTTATATATTTTTTGTTTGTTTAAATTGTTCAAAAGTTAAATATTTCTCATAAAAAATATATAGTTATATAAATTAAATAAAAAAACATTTTATAAATACTTTTTTTTAAATTAATTAGAAGTGTTTTTTTTTTTACTTCATTAAAATTGTTTCGATAATATAAAAGCATTTAAGATCAAACTTATCAAATTGTAACGGTTTTTTAAAACTTTTTTTTTTAACGAAATTTTGTTTATCTTTTTAAATGCATTAACTTTAATCATTCTTTTATTTAAATTCTTTAGAGACTTACGTAGTCGTAGAATGTCATCGTTTATAAAAACAAAACAATTTTTTATTTTTTAAAAAGATTTATTTTAGAAATGAACACTTAAATAATTTATATGTTTTAAATTAAAAAATACATACAACTGTCAATTATATTTAAAAAACAAAACTTTTTTTCAGTAAATTGTTACTTTATTTAAAATCGTTTCACTAATATAAAAACATTTGTTAAGAAGTTTTGATGTAATTAATTTCACTTTTTTAGAATATTTTTTATTTAGCGCGTTTCTAAAATGTTTTTTGAATTAGCCGCGGTCAAACCGTCATAGCAAAATGTAACTTGCATAGTCATATAAAAACATGAAATTGAACATCTTCCTGTGAAAGCTTGAAAATATAGTTTTTTTTGTGATTGTCTAAATATTACTATTAATTTTTGTACCTTTTTAATTACTAGACCACAATTTGCCTCAGTAAAATCACATTGGTTTCCTTAATATCTGTTATGACTAGCATAGAGATCGACCGATTCATTGTTGTCACAAAAAACCATCTTCATTGCAGGAGTCACTCTCTGAAAAATTATCTTCTCTGATTTTTGTCTTTGTCAAATTGATGAATTATTTCTCTTTCTATATCTTGTTTTTGATATAGTACTTTAATAACAACCAGTTGCATACCATGGGTAAAACATTACTGTTAATTTACAGGTAATATTCTTCCAACTTTTTTTACTACACTTGCTCCATTATTCTTAATACCTACAATATCTTTTTGCAAGTCCATGTTGTGCAAGCTTTTGTTCTAATAGCTCAAGACACTTCAAGATCTTCATACAATGATCCTGTTATATGAAGTCTACTCTCCAAAACTGACAATTTGCATATAAATTAATATTTGTGTAGCAATTGTTACGTGGTGATATCCATTCATAAAAGATTAAGGAAATCTTTCTCCTACACAGAATTTATATTTTTTTGCTGGCTATTTCAATAAATTATTATAATTAAAAAATCTCCTTTTTTGCTTAAATCTGGAACCTTTTTACTCACAGTGTTGTGGGTAACACTATTGTGGGTAAACTTTTAAGTCCTGTAGCTATATGACCTGCATTTAAATCTCTAGAATGGCATATAAGGTTGAACTAAATCCCATCAAATGCTGTTAATTAGTAAGTTTTCTTCTTGCTCCAACTAAATACCATTCTTCAAACTAAATATCATTACTAACATCTTTCAAACTAAATACCATTACTAACATTTAAAAATATGTTTTGTATTAAAACTTAAAGGAGAGTTTGGGTTTCCTAATATTAAATTTTTTGATTGCTATCAGTATTAAATAATATAACCCAAAAACTGCTGCAGGGGATAACTTTTTGTTCAGATTTGCATTAATTAATGCAGGCAGGAAGGGGTAGGAGGTAAAAAAAAATAAAAATAGATAAGGTGTATCCTGTCATAAAGATGACACAAACAGAAATGTTTATAATATAAACTATTATGTAGCTAAGAAATGCAGTCTTCAGATTATTTATTTGATGATAATTTTGATCAATACTTAAATATTGAATTTTTTATTAGCTTCTTATAATTTACATAAAATTTATAAAAAATGTAAAATATTTGAGCAAAACAATTTATAATCTAAACATGCATTTAATAAGCTTTAATTCATAAAAATAGTTTAATTATGTCTTTAATATAATTATAAAAACCTAACAAATTTTATTATGTCTTTAACATAACATAAAATTATAAATGATAATAAAATTTAAAAAATATCTATTTAAACAAAATAAAAAAGTTGTATTAGTTTCTAATATTGCTAAAGTGTTGTTAAAGTATACAATTAAATATATTATGATATTGTCAGAGTAGAAAGTTTTCTTTCTATTACTTTATTTTTAACGATAGTATGTGTATGCCTCATGGAATGAATGTTCCCATGTTTAACGATAGTATGTGTATGCCTCATGGAATAAATGTTCCCATGTTATATTAATATTGAATATAAACAATCTTTTAATTATTTTTATTCAAACATTTTGTTACTAAATGTTTAATTATGTTACATATGATTGTTTAAATATGTTACGTATAAATGTTATAGTTTTTAATAAAAAATGTTTAGATTCATCATCAAAAAATTGCATATTATCAAAAGTGGATTCTAATCAACTTATTGGTTATGTTAATCTGTTCAGTATTGGTTACATTTCATGGGGTTCATGTTTAAGCTTTTGTGTAGATTATCAGCAAAAAAATCCAACTCAGAATGGACATGTGGCAAGTTTTATAGCAGATGTTTATGGAGACTGTCAGTGCTTTTATGGATTTAGTGGTCAAAAAATCTCTTTTAATTTAGGTTGTTCATTTTATGAGACAATCCCACCAACAACACTTCCAAAAATTAAAGGTAAACTTAAAACGTTTAAAAAATTTAAACTTTATAATATTACAGTTCAGCATTTGTAAAAAATGTAATATAAAGGAATATAATTTTGTATAATTTTAACAATTTTTTTGGTGGTTATAGGAATTTTGATTTTTTGTTTGCACTTGTTTTGTTGTTTTGCAAATTGAAAAATAATATCTCTAATGTAAATAATAAATGGAATGCAAAAATATTTTTGTTTAAATGTGTGTACAGGGTTCCCACACCTTAAAAACCTGAAATATCCTCGAAAAATAAAAACCTCCTTAAATGTCTTTAAATAACCTTTAAAAAAGTTAAAATTTGACTGCCCTCTTTAATTTCTTCTTATTTATTTTTTTAATTTATCTAAAAAAATTTTGAATTGTGAATGGAATATAATTGTTAATAAGAAAGATAATATATAGTTTTCAAACCTATTTTTGTTATATATATATATATATATATATATATATATATATATGTATATATATATATATATATATATATATATATATATATATATATACATATATATATATATATATATATATATATATATATATATATATATATATATATATATATATATATATATATATATATATATATATATATATATATATATATGTATATATATATATATATATATATGTATATATATATATACATATATATATATATATATATATATATATATATATATATATTTTTTTTTTTTTTTTTTAACATCTTTACTTCCAACAAGGCTGCAAGCAACCACTATAAGAGTTGGAAGTTACTGGAAGAGAGAAGACTAAATCTGTAGAGCAAGATAACGATTGACTGATGACTTAAAAGATTGCAAATTATATGAATCAGGAAAGCAAGATGAAGGAAGCGAATTCCAAAGAACTGATGTTCGAGGAAAAAAACTAGAAGAATAAGAGTTTTTGAAGCACTTAGGAACAGTCACAGAAAAAGGATGAGACTTAATTGAATGGCGAGTAACACGAGAATGAATTTTAGTAGATGGCACAAGGGACGCTAGCTCTTTAGAGCAGTGCCCATTATAGTATTTGTAGAAAAGAGAAAGAGAAGCAACATTACGACGATGTGACAAAGGTTGGAGATTGGCTGCCAGAGCAGGTCCAACTATGTTTACAATTCGTTTTTGCACCTTGTCTAAAAGAGAAAGAGCATCATTAGAAGATCCGCCCCAGATGGGGCAACAGTATTCCATACAGGGACGGATTTGAGATTTATAGAGATAGAGAATAGAATCTGGAGTAAGAAAGTGTCGAGCTCGATAAAGAGATGCAACCTTAGCAGATGCTAATTTTGCAATGGATTTGATATACGGTTTAAAGGAAAGATCAGAAGTAAGAGTTAATCCTAGAAGATGAATGGTAGATGACTCATCTAGTACATTACCATTCATAAATATAGGAAGATCTAAATTATTACGATAACGATTGGCCAAATAAAATTGAGTTTTATCTGAATTAAAGTTCACCAGCCACTGTGAGCCCCATGCTGTAGCAGAAGTGAGATTCTTTTCAAGCTCAGATACCCCCTCCAAGCAATCAGAGAGTGTAGGCTTCTTATCATGACAAGAGTAAATGGTAGTGTCGTCAGCGAATAATGCCACCTTAGATGTGAGAATATCTGGAAGATCGTTAATGTAAATTAAAAAGAGTATAGGGCCAAGGATTGAACCATGAGGAACCCCTGAAGTTACAGGATGTGAAGAAGAGTGTTGTCCATCGAGGACAACTTTTATACTACGATTGGAAAGAAAGGACTCAATAATCCTCAAGACGTTACCAGCTACACCATAAGAAGAAAGCTTATGGAGAAGACCAGCATGCCAAACTTTATCAAAAGCTTTAGAAATGTCAAGTGCGATAGCCTTAACCTCTCCACCTCTATCTAATGCACGGTAAAACCTATCGGTTATTACTGTTAGCACATCAGCTGTAGAACGAGAAGACCGAAATCCATATTGATGATCAGAAAGTAAGTTATTTGATTCAAGATGAGAGATTAAGTGTTTGTTGATTAAAGATTCAAAAACCTTGCTTATGACAGGAAAAAGACTAATGGGACGGTAGTTAGATGAATCAGATCGCTCTTCGGAATTTTTGAAAATAGGGATAACAAATGCTGCTTTCCAGCATGATGGAAAACAAGACTCTGATAAGCACTTGTTAAATAGTTTAGAAAGTATGGATGAAAGCTCCGGAGAACACCTCTGCAAGACTACAACAGGAATGTTGTCAGGACCACAAGCTGTTGAAGAGTCTAAGCAGGAAATTACTTTAGATACAGAAGCTGAAGTGATGCGAATGTCAAGCAAGGGATCAACCTGTTTGACGGCTATGTCAGGTAAAACGCAACTAGTGGAATCAAGAGATGATATCGATGAAAAGTTCTTAGCAAACAATTCAGCTTTGTCTTTAGGTGAGGTGACAAAGTCTGAACCATACAAGAGAGAAGGAATAACAGATTTGCCCTTATTATTGATACTGTTAAAGATTCTCCAGAAGTCTCGAGAGCCTAATTTTTGTGATGAGGTACGAGATTTAATGACCTGGGAATAGCGAGCTTTGGCGTCAGACAAAACCTTTTTACAATGGTTTCTGGCAATAGTGAACAGATGTCTGTTTTCTGGAGAATTGTTTTGCTGATAGATATGGAAGTAACGGATTCGATTAGAAATTGCTGCAGCGCAATGTGAGGAAAACCAAGGAGAAGAGTGAGGCTTGACCTGGAATCGTCGAGAGGGAATAAAAGATTCCATGCCAGCCTGAATCCACGAAGTTATGTAAGAAGCACATTTGTCAGCAGGAAGACGAAAGATTTCTACCCAAGGGCCATCACGAAGAAAATCACGGAAAGAGTCCCAGTCAGCTTTAAGGTAGTTGTATGTGGTACGATGATAGGGGGATTCTGATGAAGTAGAAGAATTTGATAATAGTTTTAGAGAGATCAAACCGTGATCAGAAGTACCTAAGGGTGAATGTGGAGAAATTGAGCACTGACTAGAATCCAAAACAAGACATAAGTCGAGTAGAGAAGGTAAATGATTAGGGTTGTCTGGAAAACGAGTTGGAAAGTTGACTATTTGAGTTAGAGATTGAGAAAGGCAAAAGTTGAGGGCCTTAAGGCCAGCAGAGTCACTGACACTAGAGCCAAGCCAATCGGTGTGATGGGCATTAAAGTCACCAACAACGACGATATTGGCCAATGGATAAAGAGAGAGGGCTTAGTCAATTTGATCAGAAATAACATCAAGAATAGTGCAATCTTGGGATGAAGGAGAGCGATATAGAACAAAGAGAAAGGCGATAGAGTGAAGTTGTGCTAAACGAAAGCACACAAATGAATAGTCTGTAGATTCAAACCTAGTTTCACGACAAATGGGTGAGTTATTACGAATGTAGATGCCCAGGCCAAGCATGTGATTATTGGAGTCTTTACGAATTAAAGGAAGATAACCATCAACACTAAGATCACAAGATGGGACAACCGAACTCAAATTAGTCTCACAAAGAGCAAGTAGGTCTGGTGAACTTTGCAAGAGATAAGACTCAACAGAAGAAAAGTTACTTCGAAGACCACGAATATTAGTAAATGATAGGTTTAGAGAACTTGGTGATGACGATGGTTTTTTGTGTTTTTTAGTTTTAGGTACTTTAGTCATTTTAAATTTATAAAGAACTTGACTCAAGTATAGATAGTACTCAGTACACTATTTAACAACTAAGCAATAGCCTTATTACTATTAATAAACTCTAAGCCGTAACAAAGGGCTCCAAATGTGGCCTCTGCAATGCACACCAAAAGTACAAACAGGGACACCATCCATGCGAAACATGGCACTGTTAGTACTCTGATATTTTTCGGCTGTTGATGGAATCAGCCTCTCTGAGAGCTACCACAGAGTTCGGGAAACCTGACTACCAGCCGGCCTCAGAACCATAAAACTGAGTTTTAGAGCTGTACCCTCATTAGGAGATAATAGAATGAGTTGCCCAGTCATAAAAATAGAGACACAAGCAATACCCACGCATTGAGTCAAGAAGATCCAGCGTTCAACATCCTAAACTGGAAACAATGTATTAAAATTACATCTGCGCCAGCCTAATAGATGAGGAAGGGGTGCGAGGCTGGTCAACAGATAGAATCTGTTTACCCCTTAAGTCTTTGCCTAGGAGGCCTTCTACAAGACAGCAACCGGATGCATGCAACATCTGCCCAAGATGAGTATCTTCATTGAGACACCATCTTTAGCCTTTACTCAACCAAGAGCCCCAAGGCAGGGGGTGTTTTAATTCGGAGTTAACTTCTCCTAGCCTTTGCCTAAAAAAGCGTATCCTACAAGGCAGCACGACATGGAGCAGGTTGTACTGGGTTACATAAAATCTTTTTATGTAATATATATATATATATATATATATATATATATATATAAAGTAATAATAATTTCTCTGTTTATATTTAAACTTTATTGAAATAAATAAAACTATGTTTTTAATGTAATCGTTTTCCCCTTAATTATCCTTACTTTTTTTTTCAAAAAAATGTTGTTTGCGACCAAATCTCATTAAATATTAGGAAAATATCTCCTTAAATTTCCTTAAAATCCGTAATTTTGGCCTTAGTTTTGATAGTGGGAACCCTGGTGTAATGTTATTCAGAAAGCACGTATTAAAAGTAAATATCAATTCAAAATGTATACCAATTGTTTCATTTTTTAGACATAGAATTTTTCATTTATTTTTAGTTATAATCTAATAAAAGTTATAATTTACTTTTTAATTTTTTATATATAAACTATTCCATTAAAGAAAGTTGACAAAAACTTTTTTACGTACACTTTTTATATTGCATGTCTACTTATTTAGTGAAATTTTAAAAATATTTTATTTATAATTCTACTACCTCTTTGTAACTTTAGTTGTAACGTTTTTTTATAGCATTCAATTAATAGGAAGAAAAGTCTTAAATGTTTACTATAATTACTTGTCAAAACTTTAATGGAGTTAATGACAAGTTTTAAAACAGTCTTGAGAATTTCACAGCATGGGCCAACGAAGGTGTCAAGAGTTCTTTTTTTAGATTATAAGAGTCAAACAAATTGAACGTTATCAAACAAATATTGCATTATGGAGTTTAGAACGGGCCCTTAACATGAAATTTTTGAGTTGAAAGGGACGAGGGAGGGAGGGGGAGTTAAAAATAAGGCAATTAAGAACATCAAATAAATACTTTGCTTGATTTTAATAGTAAAACTAGCGTGAAACAAAGAGCACTTTTTTTTCTTGAAATGCGCAAATGCATTTAATGCGTTTTTTGTACCAAAAAGACTAGAATTAATATTGTAGTTCCTAGTAGGAACTAATAAAAATATCACATTTTAAACCAGTTAGCAAAAAAAGATAGGGGCATTCTCATCCAACAACCATCACCCCTCTTCCTTCTTCTTCGCTGGTATGTAGAGAAAGTAAAGATTGTTTAAAGATAGTAAAGATTGTTTGAAACATTTAAAGATACACACGCCATGTCACCTGGTTATGTTGCTTTTTACAAGGCATCTACAATTGCCACTTTGTTTTTAACAAAAGCTTTATTACTAAGTAAAGGGTGATGCTATATCTTGATTTTGACAACTAATGCCTAGTTTCCTTAATAAGAAAATCTTTCAAATTTTTAAAAATTATTATGAGTTAACTGTCATTTAAGTATTTTTTTAATATTTTCACTGCAAAAGTTTTTTGGAATAAATGGAAGACACTCTTTTTTGGGCTTTGTAAGACCATTTTTTGCTTCTTTCGCTTTAAGTGGTTTAAAATGTGACTTTGTTATTAGTTCCTACTGGGAACTACTAAATATTCTAGTCTTTTGGTACAAAAAATGCATCCAATGCATATCATTTCTTTGATTTCACTTGAGTATAAATATGATTGTTCAGTTATGACTTTCTGTATACCATGTAGTTGTTTCCAAATAATGGCCCTCAAAGTACTCATCAGGTATCTCATAGATCTTTAGTATCTAAGTTTTTATTTTAAGAGGTAATTTAATTTTAATGGGTAACCAGAAAGTAATAGTACTTTCATAATAATATAATCTTTATATCAATAACTTATAAAGTTTATACATTTTTTAAATAGATTTTTATTTTGTTGAAAAGCTTTCTTTTTTTATTTTAAAAATTTTTACATTTTTTGCGTTTTAATTTGTATAATTATTTATACTATACTTTTATTGTTAGTCGATGAACGTGTGTTGACATTGAATAATTTGCTTGCAACATTGACATCTTTAGAAAAGACATACTCTGTTTCTTTTAATCTATATCTTACATCATTATCAGAAACTTATGAAAGTGTTATTCATTTAACAATTGGGGGCAATACTGAGCAATATGGTGACAGATGTCCTGCTGTATGGGTTAAATCAGGACAGTTGTTCATTTGTTCTGCAGTAAATTTAGAAAAAAACTATTGTATAACCACAGATCAACTTCCACTATATGTGTGGTCAACTATAAAGATATCACAAATCAAACAAAATGGATTATATGAATACAACATACATATAGATGAATCTGTTGTTTATAGCACTGTAAATAATTATCCCCAATCTTTTTCAAATGTTTATGTTTATTCTGCAGATCCTTGGCATCGTGAATTTAATGGCTCTATTAGAGATCTAAGAATTATAAATGAAAATGATAGTGAGTACTTGTTTGTGTTTTAATTATTTTATTGTTGTCATAAAATTTCACATAAACACGATATGATAAAAGTACAATAAACTTTAACAATGGGACAAGCCACTATTTCTCGAGTCAGACAGATGAAATATTATGTAT